TGTTGTCGTCGCAGGTCTGTGATGCAGGCTTGTAATCCGTGATGGTCTGGATGCCCTGCCACAGGCTGCGCGTGTCTCTGCTGTCCTTGAAGTGGCTTGTAATCTTTTTTTTATGAGTCGACAGGTAACACAAATAGTGATTAATATGCCATAAACTAATATTGACTGACAGTTTCTGAGCTGGGGGTGCTTTGATATCTTTTTATAGCCTCTCCTTTCAGATCTTAAGTTAGTTACTTAGGGGAGACTGTGGATGATTGACTGGTGGTTTGAAGGATCAGAGAATTTATCAGTTCTGGAAATGTCAGCGTTTCACAAGTCATAACTTGTAATTCTCTCAGCCAGTCTAAATTAAGGACTGACAGGTTAATGAAGTTCTCTGTGTTTGCCTCAATTACTGTGTAAATACCTTCGCCAATAAGATTATGTTTTCATCCTGTTTTTGTTATTTTGTTTGCCAATCACCCAAAAACTGCATGGATTAACAAAAAACTTGTTGAAAATATGTTCTATGGCTCAGGAAACAACTCAACAACTTTTGGCAAGGGATCAGGATCAGCGGATGAATCTAGGATTTTAAAAAAAACTTTTTTATTTTTATTTCTCATCTTGACAGTGTGGAGGGAAACGGTATCCTCATGTGCTCCATTGACAATCTTCCTGCTCAGCTCCCCATCGAAGCCACAGAGTACTTTGGAGACCGCCTCTTCCCTTACATCTGGGAGATGGTAAGATATCTGGGTTATTAGGTGGGGTGAGTTGAGATCAGCTGATGCTGTTGCTGGATTTCTGTCCCGCTCTGTGCTGCTTTTGGGTTTTGGCTGGAGTTTGCTGCCGGAGAGCATTGCAGGGGCCTTCAGGTTGTTTTTCCCAGTTTCTTGTTTTGTAAATTTAGTGTTCTGTTGTCATCAGCTGCCGTCAGACGCCACCAGACCTTTGGAGGAAGAAGAATTCAGCCCACAAGTCAGAGACGTGAGTCTTGAAATATTTCACTGTATTATTCTAGGTTTTTGATTTGACCATAATTTGATATTAAGCCGAGAAAATAAGTAACAGATCAGATGACATGCTAGATAATTCAGATATAGGAAATATACAGTATAACCTCTACCTAATACTGATGTGTTGAGGTGCAAGGCTCTGTGTTAGACTAATGATAAATATTCACTATTCAGTGAGTGAAACTATCTATTTCTACTAGGGCTACATGATATATCGAAAATCTATCATCATCGCGACATCAACGTGCACTAAAAACTGTAAAAAAAAGTCCAAACATGTATGAAAAGACCCCAAATGAACAGTTGGACAGTAGTGGAGCTGTGCATGTTACCCTGGTGTCTTCCCCGACTTTGTGGCGCTGCAGCTGGGCTGTGCGCCTTCTCCCAGCTGTGGAGCTGTCTGTGGTCTCTGAGCCCAAAGCCAGTGATTGTTTGTTTTTTTATTGCAAGTCATATTGTCATCGCAGTAGTCAACATCCCTTTTTTTTCAAACTGCTATACTACTACATTCAGAAGGAGGAGAAGAATATTTGTTGTGTAAAGAAAAAATGTATAGGGAAAACACTATCCATCAAGAAATGAAATCTGCCTGCTGAAGACAGTAAATATCTTTATGGATGGCCACTGACGTGGGTAGGATTTCTCCTTTTGCTGCTAATGGTCACAGGACCATGAGTGATGGCCAGCGTGTTGGTGAGAGATGGAGTTCGAGGCAAGGGGCGCCGTCCTCCTGTTCTTTCCGAACATCATTCGGTTTCAACTTTTGAAAATATACTGTGGATCCTGTGATCCTGTGTTAGTTATCAGCCCTAACAAGGATGTCAACCTGCACATACAAATTCTGTTATTTGGGATTGGGGAGTTGAGCGGGGATGACATAATTCCAAAATGTTTTTTGGATTATTTTGGTTTAAAGAGGTGGGCTGCTCCCCTCATCCCCCTACACACTGTCAACTGTGGATAATGAATATTTCAAACCTTCTGCTGCTCAGAGCTACGCTAACACCAGTTCAGTTTTCATTATTAATGAAAGTGCTTGTGCACTGTGCGTGTATGTGAATGAGAACTCTACAGGGCACAAAATAACCCCATGACAAGTTGTTTCAACATCAAACTTTCAATCGCGAAATTAATTCCAAATATAATTTAATTCGAGTGAGTGATGAGCGAGTGTTGAGTGCATTGGGAGGGTTCATCACAGCCCAGTGCTGCATTAGTGCAGCCAAAGCTTGTGCCATATTGTGAAGACAATTCCTCATCGGCATCTCATTTCTACCTCAAGTGTCTCAGTAGTACCCATTTAGCTTCTTCATCAACACCTCAGCTCTCATTATGTACAATACGTATTTATTTGTTTGACTCTTTGAAGAGTTATTTTGCTCCTACACAATTGATTAAATATAAGAATTAATTTCTTTGCTCTTAAAGGCTGTCATCACCTCAAACGGAAAGCTCACCCCAAAGTTTGAATACATTGAAAAACTTCGAGAAAAAAGGTAAGTCCTATTCCATCTGTGAGTATGACTGAAGTGCCTAGTATAGTCAGTTTATTTGAGATATCAACTGAAGACTCTGAAGGATGCAAATGTTTGTGTTTGGATATCATTCTGTATCTGAGCATATGTCTTGTTTGAAATATCCTTTTAAATCTAAAAAAAAAAGAATTACTTTGGCATATGCCTCTTAATGCAACCAATTATTGGATGACATGCCTAAAGATTACGAGACAGGTAATGTAATGTTTTACACGAACTAATGTAGCTCACCTTTGCTAACTTTCTATATTCTATCCTCTTTAATTACTATCTATAGCAGCTAACTTAAATTCTAGTAACACCTTTCCCTCCTTAACTAGTCCTTTTTTGTAGCATTGCAGTTTAGGATGTTTTACCGTCCTCCTGCCAGATCTGCTCAAAGTTGGACTTATAGCGACTAACCTCACCTTGTGGTTGTTCCTGCACAGTGCCGCCCTCTGGTGTCTGCTGTGCCAACCTGCCTCTACATTAACACCTTGCATGGCTAGCGCGCTAATAAGCTGCCGCCACCAGCCAACCTCAGAAGCTGGAGTTTGTCCTTAGGTATCAAAGGAGTAGAAACATCCCTCCGTCTCACGTCACACACAAACTGCCATCACCCCACAGTTATCATCCGTCTGTTTTGTTTCATCTAGTTCTGGCATGTTTAGGACATCTTGTCAGTCGTCGTCACCATGGTCATTAGACAATCAATACATGTTTTGTTCCTGTGTGTCTCATACAGAGCTTGAGTCCAACATGTGTTTGGCTTTGCACAAAGACTGCAAACAAGGGTAAACTGTGAGCCCCTGAAAAAAAATTCAACTCGTGCGATGTGCTCAGTCATTAATCCTTTAAATGTTTGCGTAAAGATTGGTTGATTTTATCGCTTACGGCCCTATGAGTAATTTGGTTTGTTTATATGCTACTTCTGCTAAGATGCTAATGCTGCGTGTGTACTATCATGTTGCATGCTCTCGTGAGAACACCTCATGTTTGCTGGGTGGCTGTGGTTGAGGGGATAGACCTGTCATCCTCTAACCAGAAGGTCTGCGGTTAGATCCGCAATACTGAACCCTGAATTGCCCTCTCATAGGAAAAAGTGCTGCCCATAGATGCACTGAATGAATGGGTGAATGGCAATAAGCACTTTGAGTTATCAGCAAGACCTAGCTACTGCCATGGAATAATAACATGAGGCAAAACATGAGTTCATGAGGAACATTAGCATTTTCAAGCAAAAGTATTATAAAATTTGAAAAAAACTCAACGAAAATATGACTAAAATAACAATATGTTAACCTTTTATACAACTAATACTAATAACATTTCTGAAAGCATTTGCGAACATGTCAAAACCTTCAGAAAAGTCTGAGTTTTTAAATACCACAAGAGGGCGGTATCCCTTTTTCCTGTCATGAACATGCTTTTGTGATTGACATCACTTACAATGATGAGTCGGGTATTTATTTCAAAGTTTGTTAATATTGAGAATTTCCAATGTCCAAATTGCACCAAATTTGACAGTTTACCTCCTGGGACCCTTAACAAAACACATACCAAGCTGATGAGTTGCACATTTCTTGAGCGTTCTACTGACAGATTTCTGGAATATCTTGGCGGTAAAAGTTAGTATGGCCAACGTTCACAGTTTGCTTTTCAATGACAGAGTGGCGCTGTCCTTGTATGTTATCTCACTGTGCCCGTCACTCATCACAGGAAGTGAAAACCCCTGTTCCTGTAGATTATGCAAGGACGTAGAGGAATACAAATACCCATAGAAATACAAATGTCAGGTGTGAAACTGATAAATTGAACACAATATGTGTTCTACATACAGAGATTTCTGGAATTAGTGGTTTATATTATATATTTATTATATATAGTAGCTAGTAGGTCTAGATAGATTCAAGCTGGTGCTTTGATGCCTGCTCAGTTAACCCAGACTTTCACCTAACAAACAGAGTGGAGGAGATTCAGGTACAGGTGCACCCTGCCACACATTAATAACAGTTATCATTCGTTTTAATACCAACATGGAGACAGTGAAGCAGTTCCCACTTTCTAGTTCTTGTGCTAAGCTATGCTTAATGCTCTTTGGACACCTCTCTGTACTGGTCACACAAAACGATTTTTATCTTTTCCTGCGGATAAAACCCAAAATGAGAGATTTCTAAAAAAGAATAATGCATGTTAATTATTTATTTGCAAGCAGTGGAATCCTCAGCAGCATGCTTTAAATATGTCTTGATTCATTTCTAATTTCAGTTGATTGATTATCATTTATCTTTTTTTCACAGCGATCTCAGCTTATCTGTAGCATCAAACATTTAAATGAGCTTGTAAAATATGTTCAGACACACTGACCCTCAATAGCTGCAGTGTTTGTTTCTGTAGATCATTAACACTCAAGCTCAGTGTAGCTTTGCTCCTCGACAGCTTTATTAACAGCCTGGTTGGTTGTTTTTTTATGAGCTGCACTCATATTTAGGCCACCTCTAAGACGTGATGAGTTTTCTCCATAATTGAGCCTAAGTATCATTTTTCCAGACAAGCTATGCCAGCAAATCTTAATCCTTTGGATTGAGTTGGGCTCCTTAAGATATGTAAACGTGGGGAGAAATCCTCCTGAGGGAATATCTCTCTTTTCTTTTTTAATTAAGGAGATGAGGCTCGGCGGCAGGCGGACTGTCGGTCAGTCTCGCTGTAACTCGTGCATGTGCGGGGTGTCGCTTCCAATTAGGCCAAAGCTAATGAGCCCAGGGGTCTGACTTCTGGGAGATTTGAGGCCGGCAGTTGCGGTGGTGGTAGGATATTAATGCCACAGGTCACTCAGGGTGTTGTCTCTGCTATTGTTGTTATTGGTGTTAAGATAATCCAGCATTTAAAATCACTCTTTTTAACTGAATCCATTTGTTGCAAGGCGACCTCTCAGTTTAACTAAGAGGCTTTGAGAGCTACAAGCATCATTTTCTTACCGTCATTGAGGGTTATATATGTCATAGAAGCATTGGATCAAACTCAGTGTGTGCTGCTAAAGAAAGTGACCCTGAAGAGAATTATATGACCAATTTTAAACGTATTAGTCCTTATTATGTATCTTTGTTGAGTTAATTTTTTCCAGTAATAGAGGTAAAGTTGATGAGACTTTTGGCTATGACTTGTACAGTTAGACATGGTTAGATACATGGACATGTGGTTTTTAGGCATTAGTTTTACTTGTGCTTTTCTTTTTTTTAATTAAAATCAGCCATAATATTGATAATTTATAGTTTTAGTGTTGAAAAGAAGCACTCTTTTATTTATTTATTTGCATTTGTTTGGGGATGACCTCTTCTCCATGCTCTTCATCCTCTACCTCCTGTCCTGGCTCACCTTCCTCCCCCTCTCCTCCTGTTTCAGTCCAGATCCTCATCAGTCACACCAAACTTTTGATGTTTGATTGTAACAATTGAACTACTTCTTTGACTTCTCACATATTTTAATGTTTCAGATAAATGTTTACATCATCAGCGATCATTTAATGAAAGCGCAAATATTGGTCATTTAACGGCTTTCTTTCCAGTAATTTGAAAGCCCCAAGAAATGTTTAAACTTTAAAGATGAAACTAATATCAAATTTGTATTCTCTTAATATTGATATGAATTTATAATCCAGCTATCAAACAAATGATAACAAATGATAAAAAGTCATGATTAACGTTGCACATGAAACATGTTGTCATCCATATTGTCTAAATTTGGTTATTCTTAGCCACGTTACCATCTTGGTTCTAGACATAGTTCAGCAACTAATTGGATGAAGTACTATACCTTGAAATTTTGCAAATATATTCAGTGATCCTCTGACATTTCCTCATAATTTATATAAATGTACATTAGTGTCGTCGTTGTTAATTGGCAAATGTTAACATGCTGACACTGAACTAAGATGGTCAACATGTGCTTAATGGTAGTATTGTCGTTTTGAGCATTTTAGCATGCTAATATAAGCATTTAGCTTGGCACTGCTATTGGCAGGCACGGCCTCTCAGAGGATGACAATACACTATTGGTGTATGTATTTAAAATGTGTAAAAAGTCAAAGTTAAGGGTCTCACCTACTTTATTATTGCTCAGTCTGGAAGACTGATACATGTGGGTGCCTGCTCTGTTTTCCATCCTGCATCTAAAATTCCTTCTGTATTGAAGAGATATTTAGGAACGATTCCACCTTGTTTTGTCGATAAATGATCAAAGTAGCTTGTGCTCTGACACCAAAAGAGCTTTTATCCTTAATAACCACAGAAGAGTTTACAGTGTCCATTGAAACTGAACACGTCTTTTTAAAGACTGTCCATGCTTCCTCCATCTTAACAAACTCCTGCTTTGTGCCTCAGGATTTAAAATCCCTCCCTTAAGATTCATGGATGGAAACACAGTTCTTGAGCCCCACTGATGTTTTATATTACAGTGTGTTTCTAACTCTTTGTGTTTGTTGTTCAGGGAGAAGGCTCAGATCCTGAACAAGACCGGGATGAAGCGAGTTCTGCTGTTGGGTTCAGGATACGTCTCTGGGCCCGTTGTTGAGTATCTAACTCGCAATGAGATGATCCAGGTCACTGTGGGTGAGTATTTACTTATTTTTAAAAAGTAAATTGACACTTTTAATTTCGTAGGGTTTTTTTAGGCCTGTGACAAGATTCACACCAACCTCTCATACATAGGGTGCTCATAGCCAGATAGACAGCTCTTGGTCTGTTGACTCTGCTTTCTCTGCATTTTAGCCTGTTAAGCATTTCTGAATGTGATCTGTAATAATTGAGCTGTGGCAAGTAAAGACCTGCTGTTTGAGTCACTTAACAGAACCAAGAAGCTGCGCCACCGCTGCTGCACAAAGAGCTGTTCATTCAAAGTTCAGTAAAGCTCAACTCACTTCACAAACCCTAAACTTTATATATATAAGTTTAAATGAATTATTTAACTGCTGTTTTTAGCAACTGAGAAGGTTTTCAGACTCAAAATTCTATCTCTGTAATTAAGCTCGATATAAAGCATTACACCAACAAAATGATAATTGTGCCTTTACTCTGTAGACAAAAACTGTTTAACTGGACTTTACATATTCAAAGACAAATTGTCATCCAATAGAGCACTTGCTGTAAGTAAGTGGCACCTTTAGGGTTAGGGTGAAATAATGATTACTTTGTTAAACATAAAAAACTGCAGCTGTCAAGAAGGAACTAAAAGCCTGGCATTGTTACTAGGTTTGGTGCATATCTATAAAACTCACTAACACTGTGTTCTAAAGTCACCTCTGGTCTCTGCTGTATAAAAACTTCTATGGACTACAGTCCTCTCTTTCCTGCTGTTATTACACACAATTAATACAAAATAAATTTAATTCTGTTTTTTTTTAAAGCTATAATGCTTAGTTAAAGATATGAAAAGACCCATGTGACACACTGCTGAGAATGGCTCTGGTTCAAGGTTGGATTTTGGTTTGTAGTGAAGTCAGAAATATCAGAATTAAGTTTTCTTACTGCTGGAGCTGAAGGCTATGGTTTTAGTTCAGCTCCCTTGATCAGCTGCTCACATCATGAAGTACATTCACTGAGCACTCTGAGGAACAACATACTGATTCTGGGCTCTTCCTCAATTTGCTTTCAAACCATCTCAGTTCCTCATTTCATTGATTCTACAGGATGAGAAATTGACATTCTCCTTCATGTTCGCATGAGTGCATCACATCATATCTGCTGATTGGTCAGCTGCTCATTCATGCTGCCAGTCACCTGCTCTTCCTCATTCCAAACATGTTCTACTGGAGTCGCATCTGCTGCCCGGGAGGACACCGAAGTTCACTGAACTCACTGTCATGTTCATGAGACCATTATCACGCAGGCAGCTGAGGCCATAAAGGGCTTCCTGTTGTATTCAAACCATGATTGTCTGTGGAAAGGGGCTTAAAGTTTGTCAAGAACAGCGTGTGAAGAGAAGTTATAATGCATTACCATACCCTTTCTGTCTCCTGTGGGCCATACTACAGTATAACCTTTATCATAAAGTTGTATTCATACAAACAATAGTTTGCCTGCTGGTGGTGGTCAGTTTGTACTTCTGAAAGTTAAGGATTTCAGGAACCAAAATGAAGAATGGTTGAAAAGTAGTTGCGTATTTTAGCAACTGCAGTCATTGACAGCACAATCAGCTGAGCAAGTTTCAGTAACCTTCGTAACTTTGTGTAACAGCGTCGATGCTGCTGAAACAGGCGGAGGAGCTGGCAGCCAAATATCCCAACGTCATCCCCATCACGCTGGATGCCAGCAGCCAGGAAGGACACCTCGACTCTCTGGTCAAAGATCATGACTTGGTCATCAGGTGCAGTACACACTACGGTCTCACTGTATTTCAAATGATTTTGGTCCATATGCAGACATACAGTCTGTCACGGAGGAGTACATGGAAAAAGTTAACCTGAAATGCAGAGGCAAGAATAGTTCATTCTGATTCCATTGCATTTTTACTTTCACTAATGGCAAATTTTAATGGACCAAATTATTTCTAGGTGTTTTGGCACTGCACTCAAACAGAGGTGGGGTGTAAATCAATTATTTTCAGCTATATTGGGCTGATGAGCAACTTTTTTAACCTACATTATTAGCATTTGTGAACATTTTATTAACAGGTCTTATTTTTCAGATTATTTCTTGGAAGCTTTTTTCATAATTTGGTAAAATGAGTTGTTTTAGCTGTGAATTTGATCTGACAATTTGGTACCAATCATAAATAATACAACTATTTTTCTTTACTTAAAAAAACTCACATAATGTAACAGGAACAGGAATGAACAGGAACTTAACAACTGTAAAGACAGTGTAGAACGGTTGAAATATTCCAGTAATTAACTGCTAATGATTTACAAACTTGGAGGAAATTATAAAAAAGGGTCAAGGAATTTAGCTGTAAAGTACAGACTATAATTAAGCGTTACCAAAAGTTGTTAAGCAACCTAAGACGTGCTTCTTGTTTTCTTCATGGCAGTGAAGTTAATTAATGTGGACATCTCTGACTGAGTTTGTCAGGCTCAGTCCTAAACTGTCAGACTAGCTTCCATCAGTCCACTGAAGGACCTGCTGTCTTCCCTCTGCTCCTCAGCATGCTGCCTTTCTCCCTTCACCCGCTCATCGCCAAACACTGCATCAAGAGGAAGGTAAACCTGGTGACCGCCAGCTACCTGAGTCCTGCCATGAAGGAGCTGCAGAGCAGGTGATCAGCAGCTACACGACAGACAACAATAAAACAGGAGTTACTAGAATTCATCACCATTACATACAACTGGGCTTAAGTTCTGCTGCAGTTTTCACATTTAATATATTTAGTTTTTAGATGATAGACTAAAATAAAAACACGCATGCACAGTCCCACAATGTTAAAATGCAAATTACAAGACATATTACAAAATATCCACAAATCCAATAGAATAAAACCTGCTCCTGAATAGGCAAGTGAAATTATAATGACTTGTCATGGACCTTATTTCATCAAAAGTCAAAAAAAGTTATTAACCACCATTTAAGAGAAAACGTTTTAAGTAATAACTGAACTCTTAATCAATCAATGGAGTATTAATCAATTAAATAAATGGATACACACAGCAACTTAAGTCAAAGCAATCACAATAATCACATTATGAAAACACATTTAATTTAAAATAAATAACCTATAAGAAATGTTGAATGAATAAAAGTAATGATACAATTTGGAAATTAGATATATAAAATCTTATTGAATATATAAAAAAAACAACAGAATTGCAATTGAAATGCCTATTTATGAATGAATATGTTTTGGTGTGTGTCTCAGTGCGGAGGAGGCAGGCATCACCATAGTGAATGAGATGGGACTGGACCCAGGTATCGACCACATGCTGGCCATGGAGTGTATCGACCAGGCCAAAGCCGAAGGCTGCACTGTGAGTCATGTGTGTGTGTTTGTGTGCGAGATAAGGTTTGTTTGCTTTTTACATGTTGGTACAGGCTGTTCTCTGCCACATTGATCCATTAAATCAGGTGAGGAACCCTTTTTTACTTATCGAGGGCCATTTCAATTTCTGAAACATTTCTACTGTAGTATTGTTTTTCAACATTGTATATTTGTATTGATTCTAAGCACTTCATGAATGTATTTCTGTGAAAGGTGCTATGCAAAGAAACCTAACTTACTTTATTTAATATGTCACACTTACCTTGCTAATGTAGTGGCTGGAATCGCCTCTCTTTGGCGAGGCACCAGTCCATGTCAGCAACCTGAAAAAGCTCTATACACATGTAAACCTGCTTTTCAGGATCAAGATATCTTGGAGCAAGTGAACAGTGAGATAACAAGCTGAGCAAATCTAAGTATAAGCAGGGGCTGTTTAAGAGTGAGGGCAGACATTTCAGTGACAGCATTAGAAAATGCAAATGTGAAATCTGTAACTTCTGCTTTCAAACTGATGGACCTCCCTCCTGAACAATGACAGGAGCAAACCATTAAGTCAGTTTGTGTCTGTCTTTTTAGTGGATGTGGGATTTTTTATGTTTTGTCCATGGAATAAAAAAAATCAGTGCATCAACATTTGAAACAAAGCTTATGTCAATATCTGTTTGCTGACATAGAAATCAATACTAATATGGATGTTGCATGAAAGAAGGGATAGATGGTAAAATAGCGCACTCTGTATTTTGGATGACATTCTAGCCAAAAATATTTTTTTTAAATTATCAACATCAGTAAATACGTTAATATCAGACATACAACATCATGCTCTAATAGTGACTGATAGTTTAAATGTCTACATGTAAGTAGATGGACTTAAGTGACTGTCAGACGTCTTTTAAAACTATCTCATCACAAGCTGCTGTTAAGCTGCTGCAGTGCAGTTAAAATAAATGTGGTTACTTTTCAAGTAGTTCTTTTAAACCTGTTGATTGACAGTAAATCAGGAATTGAATATAAACTATTTTGTGGTTCAGGTGGAGTCCTACAGCTCGTTCTGCGGTGGTCTTCCTGCTCCGGAATATTCAGACAATCCTCTCCGCTACAAGTTCAGCTGGAGTCCGTACGGCGTCCTCCTCAACACCATCAGTCCTGCCGTCTTCCTCAGAGACAACCAGGTACAGAGGTCCAAGTTGACAATTAAAGAATAATATGCATTTTTTTCCTCTGAATTTGGTCGTATAATTACAGTTCCTCAAGTTAAGAAGAAGAAACTGAATCCGTGTGTGTTTGTTTTTACCAGGTGGTGAGCATCCCGGCCGGCGGCGCTCTGATGGAGACCTCCATGCCACTGGATAGCTTTCCTGGTTTTAACCTGGAGGGACTGCCCAATCGTGACAGCACCAAATACTCAGAGCCGTACGGCATTCAGTCCGCACACACACTGATCCGAGGAACACTGCGCTTCAAGGTACTACACACACACAGACACTTCCACTGATAGCTGTCAGCTAGGAAATAAGTTCCTAAAGAATCACTCAGAGGAAACTGCCACAGGGTATCACAGACCTTTTCTAATGCTGGTATCATTTCATTATCAGAGGTCTTAGCTTCACATCACTGACCTGTTTGCTGTAGATTTTTTTTTTTGTGCTAAATCCATTTTCTGTGATTAATTGACAGACAATAGTATTAGACAATAGACTTGTTTTTTTTACCAAGAGTCAGAACCCAAAGATATTAACGTCTGTCTCAAAAAAAGCAACAAATCCATCCCCAAAATATTTCCTGAGGTTTTCTTTCGACTGATGAATTGATTTACAGAAGAAGCAGAGAATGAAACATCACCAGAAATGTTGTATTCAATTGTTTTGTTGTTTTTTTGTAGTTTGTCACAACAACAGCCTCTCAACTTTGAAATGTTGCTGTGCATATCTCCTCTCATCCCTCCAGTGGAATGTGATCTCCTGCATGTTGTCATCCTCATTCCTGCCTACACAGGTTGCTAATGTTGTCAGAACTTATCAAAGCGGTTTAATCCCCAGTTTCAGATCAGGCCAGTGGTAAACTTGCCTCATGCAACTAGTTTGTGGATTGGAATCTCTGTCGAAAGGCACTTCTAACTCGTGGAGTTTTCATGTTCTTGTGTCTGCGTGGGTTTCTCCAGGTAGTCCAGCTTCTCCCACTGTCCAAAGACAATCACCTCAGTCTGATTGGAGATGGTTCATTTCCTGTAGGTGTGAATGGTTGTCTCTATTTCTGAGCACTGCGATATGCAGGGTGTCCAAGGTGTGGCCTCTTGCCCAATGTCTGTTGGGATTGGCTCCAGCCATGCTCACAGGATAAGGGATATAGATAGATATTAGAATTGTTCTAAATATTGTCATATTCCCATATCAGTACTCTAAATATGTAATAAAAGTATCAATTGCCCATATTCAGAAATCACTATTTGTCTCATAAAGCATAACAAGGTGAAAATCCTCTGTCCTGATCCCTCAACAAGGGTAAGGAAAATTACCCAAAAACCCCTTAAACTGGGAACATAGAGAGGGAGTCTGCCTCCCGAACTAGAAAGTGGAGATGATACAGTACCACAAGCTCTTTAAGGTTTGATGGTGCCATATTATTAAGGGCTTTGTAGGTGAGGAATTTGTGTGAATATAAGTCTGCATTAAATATAACCAGAAGCCAGTGAAATGAAGCTTATACAGGAGAAATGCGATCTCTTTTCCTGGATATGTTGTGGTCATGTTTGTTACGTCTAGGATTTGTTATAACATGTTAGATAAGATGGGATGTATCGTGATGACAGCAGTTATTTAGGAAAAAGACAAGTTAATCACTGTAGATATGTGTCCTTGAAAGTCCAAACAAATCCAAAACAAAGTAAAACTAAAACTGTGGAAATGAGTGATGTACTGTCTCAGATCGGTTTGTATTATTCAGACGCAGGAGAACCAAAGTAATGTATTCATGCATAAACCTTATTTCTCCCAGTATCTTTTGTTTCTTGTGTTCATTGTGATTCACTTGAGCTTTTGTTCTGTCCCTCAGGGCTTCACCAAGGCTATGAGTGGTTTTGTCAAACTGGGTCTGATTAACAGCGAGCCCTGTCCCATGCTGCAGCCCACTTCATCTCCTGTTTCCTGGGTAAGAACCTCGGCTGAGGATGGTTTTTTTTAAAGGGATCATGAAAACTTTTGAACAGATGGTTGAAAGGCAGCTGAGCTGTGCCCCACACTTCGTTCTCCAGTCTGTCATTCACTTTTATAAAATGAGCTGTTTTGCAGCTCTTCCACTTGAAGCGTCTGACTGTGGAAGTGGGTTTGCACAAGAGTCTATTACTGTCAATAGCTGCTTGTCAGCATCAAGGCTGCAGTGAGCCTCGGCTTTCTGACATTGATGAGTTTACAGCAGCTAACGTTTGCCGTCTTTTATCCTCCCGAGAAAAAAGAGAGCCGCATTTTCAGAAATCAAAAGATGATAAGAAGTTTTGAATCCTGCCCCTTGTCCTTCTGAAACACTCAATACAATCTTAAAAAAAAAAAAATCTGGAACGTAGATTCAAAGAGACATAGATGTATAATAATGGCCCGCCTGCAATACTTAGCCCTGGAGCCCATTAAAGGCTCATGCAGCCACTTCTCACAGTGTCTAATCTCTGTGTTTAAAAACAAGATCAACAGACATGACTAGGAGACAGAGGGACTAGGAGACAGACTAGGAAGTAAAGATGGACTAGGAGATAGACAAAGAGCTACGGATGGACTAGGAGACAGACTAAGAGCTAGAGATGGGCTAGGAGATAGACTAGGAGGTAAAGATGGACTAGGAGACAGACAAAGAGCTAAAGATGGACTAGGAGACAGACTAAGAGCTAGAGATGGGCTAGGAGATAGACTAGGAGGTAAAGATGGACTAGGAGACAGACAAAGAGCTAAAGATGGACTAGGAGACAGACTAAGAGCTAGAMATGGGCTAGGAGATAGACTAGGAGGTAAAGATGGACTAGGAGACAGACAAAGAGCTAAAGATGGACTAAGAGACAGACTAAGAGCTAGAGATGGGCTAGGAGACGGACTAGGGGGTAAAGATGGACTAGGAGACAGACAAAGAGCTAAAAATGGACTAGGAGACAGACTAAGAGCTAAAGATGGACTAGGAGACAGACATGGTTTGTCTTATCTGTTCTCTCCTCTCTACAGAAAGAGCTGCTCTGTAAGCAGATTGGATTGTCCTCTTCTGTGACCCAGGCGGCATTTGAGGACGCTGTATACGAACACATTGAAAAGGATGATTTCAGGATGGACAGCCTGAGATGGTGAGAGACCATATTCGACGGCCAGGATTGTGCCACATGTGTTTATGTTTATCAAACATTGCTCCAGTTTGCAAAGGGGCAGAATGTCTCTGTCAAATATCTCTCGTATATGCAAGAAAAAAGTATTTACAAATAATGTTTTTCTATCTTATTCCAATCCTACTGTTTACAATTACAAGTGTTTTTATTGAAACCAACAATATATTCATCTGTAATTTGGTACATTAAATATGTAATTTAAAGTAGTTTAACTAAAGCAAAACATGTGAAATACACATGAGACAAAAACTAAGATGGCAACTTTGCCAGGGGTTGAATAGGCTTTTCTCTCCCTCATTACGTGGTCTTACAACTGCCTCATTTACTGTAGTTACATGTGATGACCAGCTGAAGGTGGCAGAATAGATGTTTTATGTTTTAGCATCGTCTCTCTCTTTGGTAAAATATAATTTTACCAGGATAGAAGCAATTGCAAATGAAACATGCTACTGTCATTTAAATTATAACCTACATTTGACATGATGATTGTTATATGCTAAAACAGATCAAGATAAAAAATTGGATTCTGTTGTTCAACATGGTTTTGGCCCCATGTTTTAATAATAATAATACATAAGCATAGAGCACACAACTTACATCACACATTAAAAGCAGTTCTTAAAAGGTTTTTATTTTATGTTTTTAAGTCCAGAACACAGTTAAGTGTTTGGGTCCCTGCTCATGCTAGAAAGTGAGTTTCAAAAGTCAAATGTCAACAATTGTTCCATTGCACTCTCTAATCAACAGCTTGTTGGTGCGGTGAAACAATCATATCCTACGACTAGTTCTCTGGATGTCCATTTGTCTGTGCAGCTCGGTCTGTGCAGAGGAGGCAGATGTGATGTCTCTTCAAAGTAAACATCAGTGGATGGGTGGCTAAGAGCAAGGCCGAGGCTGTTCCTCTTCTCTACACTTTTCACTTCCCTCCTTAATGAGGACGCCTGAAGTGGTGTAGCATGCACACTCCTCATTTTAAATCAACCTTTCCAAGGGTGTCTTCAGATCAAGGCTCCGTGCCACCATTGTTGTGCTGCTGCTGGCGGTGAGGGGAAGAGGGCCACGCTAACATAAAAATATAAATTCCTCTGACAGTGAAAGTGAACTGTTGGAAACATTCCTTCTCTGCCTTTAAAAGGGTAAAAAGCCAACGTGCTTACAGCTGAAATTGAATGACTTGTTCATTTATTCAATTCACCAGCAAAGCAGCGACAAAAGCAACTGCTCATCTCTTTAGATTCAGCCAAGGATGTGTGGGCTGTTGCAGCACGATTGGGGTGTTAAAGCGGAGTAATTTTCTTTTGAAGCATTCAATACAGCTTTGTGAAGGTTATTTTATTGTGAGGAAAAGTCCTGTTTTTTCATCTCTCTGTGTTCAGGTTTGGGATGCTGAGCAACGACTTGGTGCCTCAGGCCGACAGCATTCTGGCTTCTCTGACAAAACATCTGGAGGTCAAGCTCTCATTCAGTAAGAAGCAAGCTCATTTTCTTCCCACAAGACACAAAAATAAAATACAATCAGGGAATCTGCATGCCTTGGAAAGAATTACTAAGTATTCTAATCTGTTTTTCTTTTAAAAAAAAAGTCTAATTTTAAAAAGGCTTGTATTTAATTTAAAATGGTCCTAAACACTTTGTCTCACCTGCTGAATTTACTACAAACTGTCTCCTGTTCCTTTGTTCCAGAGCACTCATCAATCAATCAATCAATCAATAAATCAATCAGTAGCCCATCATTAGTGGTCATTATTACTTTTTTATATTGATATTAGATTACAATACTGTCCATGTGAAATACAAATGTAATTCTATATGATATTAAGAAAGTCTTAAATTTAATTATAAGCTAGACAATTCTAGAAACAAACTAACTATTGACTTCTCTCCCGTGGTAAGATAAGGGGGAGCGAGACATGATCATCTTGAGGAACGACGTGGGGGTTCGCCACCCGACGGGCGAGCTGGAGACCAAACACACCAGTCTGGTGGTGTATGGTGACCCCAGTGGTTTCTCTGCCATGGCTAAGACTGTAGGATACCCAACAGCCATTGCTGCTCGCATGGTCCTCGAAGGTCAGTAAGATTAAAATTTGAACTTGTTACACTGTTTGTTGTTGGGAGCTTTAGTATTAGGCACATGTTGAAGACAAACTTCATGTGAGA